GGGGGGGCAGCTCGAAGTGAACAACCAAGAACTTGAAGTATCCCCGAAGCATTCAGGGCTCGTGTTATTCTGATATCGGTTTCAAAGTTGACATTTTAGAAAGATCACATTACTATCTTTAAACCGTTTTTCAGAGAGTTGTCACTTACAGTTTCATCACCGAGTATAATTAATCATCACAATGGACAGCAAAGCACCAATTCCGTTCTCAATGACATCCACATTTTCAGCTTTCGAGTATCTAACCAGGCGTACTTCTACAAGCAACCCTTTCCTGTTATTTCTATATTCATCACAAAACCCTCAATTGTTTTATTTATGACAGTCTTAAAATGTCACATAGCCCTAAGCTAAGGCACAGCTCTTACACGATTCAGTTGTAAATACCTCAAGCATTCTACGTTCTAAAAGAACTTCATGAGAGCAGGTTTTCAATAAATAAACGCAGATATTTTCCACCCATCCATCTTCCTTACATTTTGAAGTACCACTTCTTCCTTGGATCTCCTTCTTCCTCTTTCACGCTCCTCTGTTTTCCATCTTCCTTTCACATGTTCGCTGTACTTTCTACTTCGATCTCCCTCTCATTCTTCCACCATCTGCCACCCTTCCTCCCCAATGCTTCCCTGGCTTCCGGCATTCCCAATACCTTTATGTTCTACCGCTTTTAACCTTTTGAATCGACACTCTTATAATACCCTCCTTCCATCTATAATCCCGACCACTTTGCTCCTTCATTAGTTCTAAAAAGGCAGCTTTTCGGTAACATCTACACTTTATTGCAGCTGATCCAGCGAACTATACTCTCTCCCCCCCCCTCCCCTCTCTCTCTCTCTCTCTCTCTCTCTCTCTCTCTCTCTCTCTCTCTCTCTCTCTCTCTCTTTCTCTTCTGTTCCTCTGCACCTCGCCCAGACCAGCAGCATTACCCTCTACTTGTTCTAGAACATTCCGATTATATAATCATCCAAAACAGTCGAATACTTTTACTTCGATCTGTCCTTGCAGTAGTGTTAAGAATAGAACACCCCAATGCACCCTGTTTCTTATTTGAATGTATTACACAATCGGCCTCTTTCGTCTGTCCGTCTGTCTGAATCTCAGAAACATGTTTTAAATCTCCGATTTTAAAGCTACGACCTTTTCAAAGTCCGTTGTACCTTTGTACCTCTCTAACTCCTAC